GGCAGGTGGACCTGAACTGATGGAAAATTGCTGAAATTGTTAAAAATGAAAAAAACCAAAAAGAAACACAAAAAAACAAGCGCTCTTAGTAATCTGCCCCAAAAAATCTCTCCTCAGCGGTTCTTCTTTCATCCTTCCTTATTGTTGCAATGCCAGTTTGTTAGTTTCTGATCGTTCAGTCTCAAAAACCAAAGCTTTTTACACCGAGACCATCAGAAAAGTTCTCTGATTAGGTTTCTCCATCACAAGGAAGTCGAAAAGGGTTGAGCCCAACTTCCTCCTTTTTCAGGCCACTCTCAAAAAGGTTTCTGAAGAAAGGGGGTTTCCTCCTTACCAGCACATGCAGGAGCAGGCAGGGCAGGGTGACAACATCACTCTGGCGCGTATTCATAATTGCCAGGGTGAAAAAGCTGCTTCAGAGTATTTAATTTCACAGCTATCGAAAATCCAATCTCAATGTGCTTTCTGTGATGAATGTCCTTAGGAGTTCAACCCTCCTTTCCTTTTGTACAAAAGCATTTTAATTGATGCTAAGGTTCAAATTATTAGAAAAACACCAAGGTATGAGACTCACAGTATGGAAGTGTGGATGCAGAAAGGAGAGAGGAGCTTTTGCTACATATTCGTCAAATTCCAAGGTTCTCCTCAGAATTTCTTCAGAAAATGACTTTTGCTTGCCCCTTAACTACAAACAGCTAAAGAACGGGCAGAGCACCCAAAGGCACGTTTTGGATGAGTGCAAAAAGATGTGAGCCTGCGCATTTGGGATAAATGCACACAGAGCCGGGCAGTTAGCTCCGCCTGTGGCACTGAGTTACAGCACTTGCTCACACAAGTGCCTTTGGCTTGGCTTGGCTTATCTTTCTGACCTTCTCCATATCCCCACATGCAACAGGCAGTAAGGAAGGAACATGCCGTTCCTGGTGATGAGAGCCACATGACAGTGAAATCTCCACCAGTGAAGATGCCAGAGTGTTTCCCAGGATTGACGTTCAGGCACCTGTCAATGAGACCGGGAGCCAGATTCACCCTGCAAGCAAAGTTGACGCGGAGGAGAGTGAATGCACCAGGAGAGGAGGTTGCTGAGGTGCAGAACCCTGGCAGCCCCCCTTCCCCTATAGGTAGGGATGAGGATGTAACACCCGTGGTGAAGGGGCCTCCTGGGTCATCTTCTCCAGAGAGCACCATGGATGCTAAAAGTTTCACAGCCCAGTGAAAAAAATCTCCCTTACTCTCCTGTGGTCTTCGGAGAGCAGAGAGTGTCCATGGTACAGGTACAGGTGACTTATACCTCCCCCTGAGCGACTCTGGCCCTGAGAATGACATCCTTCATTAACCTAATTGGAAACAACCTTTCTTAGGGCTGAGCAAATCATTCCTGAAATCCTAATAATACACAGTTCTCCTCCGGGCCGTATTTCACTCTTCTTCAAGAGCCTTTGGAAGGAGACATGCTGAATATGGTACAGCACACTGCACATCTGAAATGCTTCAGCAAAACATAGCTGTATTAAAAACACAGAGAGTACCAAGAAAGGAAGAGGAATAGGAGGGACTTTGGTCATACAGCTGCACTGGAGAAAAGAAGACAAGACAAGGCTCAGTGTAAACAGTCTGGAATGAACTATTCTTGCTCCTTAGTGTGCATGCACACGCAGCAAAGGAAGGAGAGAACTGGCAAACCCTGTAGGACTTTTATTTCCCTCAGATCACTGGCCAGTCTCCATCCGGCAATATATCAGGGCTGCTACAGGTGTCCTGTGAAATCAAGCTGGCAAAAAGTAATGACACTCTGGAGGAGACGAACTTGTATTTCTGATATATCATTTGGAATAGGCCTTATTTTTATGGTTGTGCCAGAGCTATTTGTAAAACACTCATCTCCCATTGTAATGGATAAAGTGATAAAAATGCATCTCTTGCACTGATAGATATGCTGATGTCATTGACACATGGACTATAAATCAGTTTTACAGAAACATGGAGAGCTACCATTTTTACGTCTGAAAGCAAACCATAAAGTACATCTTGTAAACTTACCTTAGCTGGACGCAGTGTGCACAGGCAAGTGAAACCAGAATCAGTTCAAAAACTTTTGCCAAAATATCAAAGACTTTCCCATGTTGCTTTTGTCTTGAGCCTATAAAACCTTTCCTCTCCAGATAAATTAGAAGGTGGTGCGCTTATCTGAGCTCACCTGTGTGGGGGATGCTGGGGCCTTTTCACACAAGGCCCCAGGATGTGTTTATGTGGGTCTTGACCCTTTGATGTGTGGTCTCCATCGGACCAAGGCAGCACATGACCCGCTTCTCTGTAGAAGCCCTACTGAGGTTACAAACCTATCCTTGTTCACCTTGTCTGTTGGAAACCAGTGCAAAGGACTCCCTCCCTCTCTCCGTGAGATGCTCCTTCAGGTGAGGGGGAAGCTTGCACAACCTTTCATTTGTGCTATAACACGTAGTGGAAAGACTTACAAGCTGCAGAACCATCAGTGCAAGTATTAAACACTTTCACAGGTATTTCTGTCAGAAATGGCTGCTAGGGTTTTGTTCCATCTCAAAAACATTCAGAAAACCTGACTATATGCAATCAAGACTAAATGCTTTTTACCTCCTCTGGGAGGGAGGTCAGATGAGAAAGTCTCATCAGTAGAAGGCAGCCCTTTGAAATCAAACTGCTTGGCCACGTAGTCTTTGGGCATACAAAGCTACTGTTGAATTTGATTTAAGCTCCATTGCTCAGACTCTGTTCTGAGAAGAGACAGACTGTGAAAGCTCCTTTCCCCTCAATTTAATCAGATTTCAAAATGAGATGAAGTTTTCCAAGCAGCTGCTGCCACAGGAACACTACCAGGAAGCCCTCGTATTCTACGCCCCAGAGCCTTTCCTTGTATTTACAGGAAGAATCAAACTTAAACCTACATTCAGAATAGAGAGAGACAACATGCTCTGTCCGCATCTGGCAGCTGTGCACATGGGAGGAGACTGATACAGCTGGACTGGCCTGATCAGATGTACTCCTATTATCTACCTGAAAAAGCTTACATTTTATTGCACTAGATTATTGTTTTTTGCCCTTTTCCTCTAAAGACTTTGACACTCTTTTTTTCTCCAGCCAACGTGCTGCAAGCCCAGAGCCTGTCTTGGAGAGGAGGAGGAAACCTGATGAGCCTGGAAACTCGAATGACCTCCAGTCTCTTTCAATAGCAAATACCAGGAATTGATTTCTGTGACTCCTAGCACAGGAGAAGCTTAGACACTGACAAGCCAGGAAGCCTTTTCACCTGCCTAACAAATAAAGCAAACCATGAAAAGTCATGGAAGAGCAGAATAGCATAGCTGAGTGACTGCTCAGTATCTGAAGGATAGATTGCAGAGCGTAAGGAAAGGCAGCCAGCCCTCAGTCCCTCACCCCTAAATCACTTTGTAGAGTACAGAATTTTCCTGTGCTGAGGCTGCCCATCCCAATCTATTATATACAAAGCAAGCCTTCTTTCTCTCTGCTAGTCACCTAGGACTCTTGCAAGCCCCTTTCAGAGAGGGATACAAACGCACTTCTCCCATCACAAGTGCGCACACACACACACACACAGCCTGAAGCTCTCAGTGAGATGTCTCACTTAAACACTTGCATCAGTACCCATGGCTGCCCAGATCGGGAACAGGGACATGCACCTAGGGCTGGGACTGCTGGGTCCCTAGGCACAGCCCTGCCACCCCTCTGGGGGAGAGTGTGTCCTACACAGCTGCACACATAGAGCTAGCAGGGCTGGGCTCCCTGCCCTAGTGTACGTCCCACACCCGGAGCTGGGGATGCTCTTGGGGGCTGTGTCCTTCCCGGTCCCTGGGCTGGGGAAGCTCAAGGGGACTGTGTGTCCCTAGACCTGGAGCTGGGGATACTTGGGGCCACGCTTCCCCGCCAGGGCTGCGGATGCCGGGGGGCAGTACATCCCTCCCGCAGCTAGAGGTACTCGGGGCAGTGTCTCCCTCCCGGGGTCGGGGATGCTCGGGACAGTGTGTCCCCAGGCATAACGATGCTCTAGGCAGCGTGTCCCCTTGGGGATGTTCGGGGATGGTATGTGCCCCTCCCTAGGGGTGGGGATGCTCGGGGCAGTGTTTGTCCCCCCCCCTCCCGAGGGCCGCAGATGCTCCAGGCAGCGTGTCTCCGGCGTTAGGGGTGCTCCGGGTGGTGTGTCCCCCCCCCAGGGATGCTCGGGGGCCGTGTGCCGCCCTCCGTCCGGGCCCCCCTTACCTTTCCCGGAGGGGGCCCGGCGCAGCCTCCCACC